CAGGTTCTTATATAAGATTGTTTAAGATTTTCCATCGACAGTCGTAAGTGTCTTATAAGAATCAGATAAGATTTTCATACGAGGTTCATAAAAAGATAAGTCGCACTTAACGAGGATCGAACTCGTAATCTTTCATTCAGCTGTAAGTTACGCGTAAAATATTGCCCGATTAACTAGTTAATACATCCTAGTAAAAGTTTTATATTTTTAAAAATAACAGTTCTGTGAATACGACTCACAAGTCTTCAGAATAAATGACCGTTACGGCCACTTACTAGCCCAAAAGATTTGAGAACAAGTAGAAGTAACTTAATCATAACAGAAATCGTAAAAGCCGACTCATAAGATGCCTTCTGGTAAATATTAATAACATAAGAATTTTTGGTCCTTCTTATGTTTTTCTTACGAGCCTCTTATGAAAATCTTATAAGAATCTTATAAGACACTTACGACTGTCGATGGAAAATCTTAAACAATCTTATATAAGAAACTGATAAGATTCTTATAAGAATCCTATCAGTTTTAGCAAAAAATTCTTCTCTAGGGTACTACAAAATTAAACACCAACATACAAAGCAAACATTACAAAACAAACACTCTAACAGAGAAAACTATAATGTTCTAATTAAATATGATGATGAAACTATAGTACTTATATTTAAAATAAATTTATTTTTAAAAAAGTTAATTTGTCAACAGTTTTAATCTTCGCTGTCTTCGTCATCATCCGTGCTAATATTCATATCACGAGTTTTCTTCAACACATTTAGGATACAATTATTTGGAAGTGTTTAAAAATCATGATACGGATATTATTTTTTGTTTTTTGGACTGACTATTTATTGTTAAGCCGGTAGTCTATTACAAAAAAAGAAAAGAGAATAACGAGAAAGATGGTAAAATACATAACAAACCAAATCGAAAAGAAGAAAACAACACATATATCTAACTCGTGCAATTAAAAAGCAGTAATAAATAAATTCTAGCTCTTGTATCTGATTCTGTTACCTCCTCTACAAAAGTTATCCATGATATTAGCACCGACTCACGTCTATCTAAGAGTTTCTTGCTTCTTGCTTCTATCTCTTATTTAATTTAATTTTTATTTGGAATATAGAAATGAGAGATAATGTATTTTTCTTGAGAAACGCAATTTCTTGCCAAAATATTCATTTTTCAAAAGAGATACTTTTTAATTAATTAAAACAGATACATTGTAAAATCTGGATTTTTATCTCTTTTGGGAATCTATAATACAAAAAACTTCGTTTTCTTTTCTAATTCATTTGATTACTTCTTCTAAGACAAATGTTTCAAAAGATTATTGTTTTATCCATCTATCAAAAATACATAAAGGGTGACCCAGAAGTCCTGTCTCGATTTGAACAATAAATATTGTTCAAATCGAGACAGGACATCTGGGCCCCCCTTTATGCATTTCTTCTACAGTTTATTTTAGTATGATACTATTTAAACTTTCCCATAAGAGAAATTTTTCTGTTTTCTGTTTACAGAATAAAATAAGAAAAGAACAAATTTTATATTTTCATAGAATATTTATCTTTTATATATTCAACGAAGAAAGTGCTCATTCTAAACTTATTTCGTATTGTACCAACTTCGCGAATCTAAATTACATTTATTAGAGAAATTCCATTTCCATGTTTTGTGCGAAGTTGGTACAATATGAAATAAGTTTAGAGTGAGCACTCTTGTTGTTCATTACATAAAAGATAAACATTTAATGAAAATATAAAATTTATTCTTTTCTTATTTTATTCTTTATACATTTTATTCTTAAAATATTAAAATGTTTTTCTTTTATATATTTAAGGAAGAGAGTGCTTACGCATATTTTCGACACATTTATCGCGATAAATGCTTGTTTTATGGAGATCTCACCGAGCATTTGCAGTTAAAGCGATAAATAATTTATCGGACAAAGTGACCTTTTTTTAGTGTCGTAATGTTATTATTACAATCTATCGATAAACGATGTTTATAGATTGACTTAACTATCTGTATAATTTTCTAAACATCTTTGTTGACTCCTTTTTTTGGCTGACTGCAGGTTATGTGGCTATATGTATCTGCTTGTGGGTGTGTCTGTAGAGTGATTCGGTTGTCTGTGTAATTTAGTACATGTCTGTGCAGACTCATTTTTTGGATGTCTGTAATATGATTGTTCTTATAGCTGTTTGTGCTTGTCTGTAGGTGTTTATGAGTGTCTGCAACTGTCTGTGAGTGTTTTCATGTTTTACTATTATCATTTTCTTTCTCATAAATTTAAAAATAGATGTTAAATAGATGTTGAAAAGACGATGATCGCTCATATTACCACGATTTATACTGATATGAATATGAAAAAGAAAAAGAGGGAAGATTAGTTGACATGAACTTAACGATAATATTTATTTTAATTCATAGAACATTTTTTTTTGTACTTCCAAGTTTAATATGACATAAAATTCTAACAAAGATAGTCTCAGTAGCTCGTATTTTTCTCATGATTTATCTTTTTTCTCCGTCAATCACATTTACTCATGCAATGTGTTTTCTATTTTATTATTCAGACATTCATAAAAAATTTCTCTCTCTTTCTTTTTATCTTTCCATTTTCAAAAACTGTTGATACGATATATACCCTTAATTACAGAAAAAAGTAAGATAAGTTACAGCATACGCCATTGAAGAGTAATTTTTCATTCTTTTACACAATAGATAAACCCGTTTCAGTTAAGTGGAAAAACTAAATTACGAGAAAGCTTACTTGAGAACATGGGTCATTACTGTTCATATCATCGAAAAATTGAAGAAGATTTATCTTTAAATGATTATCGATATTTAATGAAACAAACACATTTAACACCAATAATTATTCAATCATGGTATAGAGAATTTTTGACCGTTTGTCCAAATGGCCAATTAACCAAATCTCAATTTATTAAATTTTATAAAGAATTAGAATCAACATCAACAAAAGATGTTGAAATAATAGCTGAGGATGTATTTCGCGCATTCGATAAAAATGGTGGGTTTTATGCTTCTCTTTCACACATGTTTAATTTAATTAAATGATTTTAGGTAATAATTTAATAGATTTTAATGAATTTCTAATTGCTTATGCTTTAACATCAATCGGTGATCCGGTCGATAAATTAGAATATACTTTCTCTCTCTTCGATAAAGATCAATCGCAATCAATTGAACCGAAAGAAATGATTGAAATTATTCGTGCTCTGTTTGAATTAACTGCTAGTCGTGGAAAACAGGGAGAATTAAAAATCTCACCAGAAAATATTACAATCGATATTTTTAGACATTTAGACAGTGATAATAATCAAAAATTATCAAGAAATGAATTTATACAAGGCTGTCTACAAAATAATCAAATTCGTCAAGTACTATGTCCGTTTGACAATGAATGGTGTCCAAAAGATGTTCATTAATATGAAGTTTTGGTTCACTGTATGTAGTAAATGCTGTTGTTTGAAAACTAGGACTATCTTGGTGATTTTTTGCTAATTTTTCCTTGAATTTTGTACTACAGTTTTTTTCAGAATTTACCAACTGTTCTTTTTGAAGATTAAATAATAAAAATGCTGCTGATTTTTCTACTTAGATCAATCGAGAAACAGAAAGACAATTGAATACTCTTAGAAGAGGCAGAATACGGAGCGTATATGGTGAGACGTTTGAACCTCCTGGACACGTTCATCCCATATTCTTTTAACGTTTAAAAGTTTACAGAAATTTAAGAGCTTTTTTAAAAAGTTCACTGTTGATTAAAGACGCGTGTTCTAATGATAAGGCTGGCTCCGATCGATCAAGAAGATCGAACTGCCTAAATGCTGAAATTACTGCGAACTTTGAATGAAGTTCCGTTAACATAAATTTTGCTTTTTCTTGAAATGTCGATTTTCTTGAAAACTAGTAAACCCTCCTACAGAGAACAGAAGCCCATCCTATAATAGAAGCCATCCGGAATAGAAGCCCGGTCCGAAGGTTATAACTTTTCGGACATATTAGAAGCCTACTCTGTTCAAACTGAGCACAAAATAGACAATTTAAAAAATTGGACAAATTACCTCGGTGCTTCTTACTGTATTATTGTAGCTGAGTTGATATGAACTAATTTTCCTTAATGTATTAATTGTCTAAGAACTATTGAACAGAAATTACGATATGTATGAATGTCATAGAAATAAACTTTATTTAATAATACTTTCGATATTTTTTCTTTCGACGTTTTTCAAAAACGTCGAAAGAAAAAATATCGAAAGTATTATTAATGCACCTTTACATTCACTAATCATATGTAGATGCAAGACATAGATCCTTCTGCAGATTATTCACGCAGTGTTGATGAACGGGTGTACTGAAGCTGCATTAATAGCACTTTCGATATTTTTGCTTTCGCCATTTTTACTTTTGGCGTTTTCTATCTCTACCTTTATACCATTCAAAATTATGCATGCAATAATATTGTTCTGTTAAGCTTCTTCCTCTTATAAGATTATGTATAATTCAGAAACGAAATGTTGAGATTTTTTATTGACTTAGGAGCAATGCAAGCAAGTCTTCGATTCAAGGATGCGACTTGTGAGAAAGCTGACTAACGGAAAATACAAATTACACGATAATTTGTTAAATGTAAAAATAAACGTCACTGTGAGATGATACAATATCAATTATTATAATACTTAGAAGATTTGAATCACCTATGTATCAAGGAGTGGAAGATCTTTATTGTGTAGCCACACGTTTATTTTATATTTCTACGGCGATAATTACAATATAGCTCGTTTTCTATCTGAACTGTGCATAAGCTATCATGATGAGGTCGTCTAGCAGAACTATATCAGTGTATGTCTGACAGAAGTCTCTTTTACATTCCTTCAAAACTCAACGTGTTCAAAATCAACATATGGTGTTAAATACAGTTTTTCATATCTGTGACAAGATCCACGAGTTGCCAAGCGTACGTGAGTATGTGAATGTAAAACTTCGCGTAAACAGTATACTACTATGTGGATTTGATAATATATAACCTGAAAAGAATTAGTAACCAGTTCGTAGTTCCTAAGAAACTATGATAAGCACTCTGAAAGTTGTCCGACAACTTGATAATCTCGATTTGCAAAATTTTAACATTTTTCTGCCTGTAAGCTAATTAAATCTTAGCTGTACTATGAGAAAAATTGATCGCAATAAAAGTCCATGTCCAAACTTCTAATTTTCAAAACAAATTAGAAGCCCAGTAGGCTTTTATTCTGTGGAGGGGTTTATTTTTTAAGAGCCTTACCACTGATTATGGCTCAACGAAGCACGACGGACAAAACATTTTGCTGACAAAAGTATTCCTTAGGTGCCAAATCGAGTACTGAGTGTAATACTTTTTCCAGTGTAGGGGAAAATATTGAGAAAAATCGAATTTTAAGCTTTTTAATAATTTTAAATTCTTAAATTTAATTTTTCTCAAAATTTTTCTGTTACACTGGAAAAAGTATTACGCTCCGTACTCCACTTAGCACCTAAGAAAGACTTTTGTCAGCGAAACGTTTCTCCATCATGGTTCGTTGAGCCGTGATCTGTGGCAAGGTTCCTAAAAAATATTACTGTCCGCCCAAGATATAAGATCGATAGTTGCTTTCTGAATAACCCAAAGACGATAAAAGCTGGACGTGAACTTTATTGTATATGAACGGTGTTGATCTTGTGTGAAATGATTTTAGTATTACAAAACGTTATATACCATTTTCAGGTAGTAGTATACCAAGTGAAACAGCTTTCTTCATTACCAGTTATATTTAATGAAAAATCAGCGCTCACTTGCTTCCGAATGGGTTACGATAACAATGGAAAAAGTATGTAGTTACGAAAATGGTTTAGACAAAGGAACTTCGATTCCATTGCAGGAAAAACTAGTCTCTTGGTCAGGAAATGAGCGATCTGTTCTTGGAAGAATCAATGGCTATCCTTTTTACATTGCAATAATCTCGTCACTGCCCTGAGCAGACTATCTGATCGTTCATTACAGTTTCTATTGATCAGATAAGACCAAGCAGAAATATCTATGTTCTTACTACAGTACAAGGGCAGAATTTTGTATTACTTGAGACAATATGAAGACCGTTCGTATAAAAAAAGGGTCACGTTCCCCAGTGCTTTACCGTTCAAGTTCAAGGAATGAAATGTGAACTTTTACAGGCCTAGAATAGGTTGACTACTGTCCTCATTACAATCTCATTTCGAGGAGCATACTTTGGGATACTTATCGATGTTTAGAATGTGTTAGATGTTAAGGCTGTTCTCGAATATATTTATTATTACCTTCAAGAAAATTCCATGATCACGAGTTTGATAATGAACATTATGGTCAGATCAATGGAGTTGGCTGTAAAGCCCATTCGCTCCAATCCTGGCACAGTTATTTATGAGTGATCTAGAAGTTAAATGTCGATATTATCGAGGTAAAAAACTAGAAATGTACTATCGATATATGCATGACATTTTGCCTTACTACATGGCACACACAAAAATGCAGTTGAATTTAAAGCTTTTATGAATAAACTGAACCCTCAAATCCAAGCAGACAGAAAGAATGATGAACTAATTACATACATTTATTGCTAACTAACAGATACAGGATTATATTTAAAATGGACAGGTAATCAGCCGCGTAATTCCAAGACAAACCTAGTATTTATGTATGCGTACAAAACGTATTTGCTCATCAGCCGAATTGATTGAACAACAGGTTGATAATTAAGTTAATAATCTTTTTACTGCATTTTTGCTTTGCGTGCATCTTACAGCAAGTGTTTACGGATAATGGGTATCCAAAAAATGTGATTAATAAAGTGATTCAAGAAATAAAACTAGCCAAATCTATACAGAAGCAAGCTCTATCACATTTCACCACGAAAGCTTTCATTCCGTTTTCTTATTACGGTTCATGCTCATCGATACTTGCTAACCGTTTAAAATCATTGATTAAACATCCACTGAAACTAGCCGTCATTGGTTTTAAATCTAGTTAGCCACTATCTAATATATTCAGTTCAACATTTAGGGGCGGTAGAGACAAGAAGAAAGTAGTTAACGAGTACGATTGTTGCTGTTGAAACGGGATCTACATAGGTCAGAAAGTCGCGAAAACGGAATAAGGAAGGGAGGGCACAAGGCCGCTTTTTATGGAAACGGTTTCTCAAGAATAGCCGTTCATAGAACTAACTAAAACTCAAACATCTTAGCTGTGGAATTACATATGATCAAGAAAACAATAAAAGAGAGTATTCGAACGGATTTATTTAGGGGCTAAAAAAAGGAAAAAATGTGTACTCTCAAAAGGCTTGTATACTGAACATTTTATAGTACTAGTCACACAGTGTCATTGTAACAGTACCGCCTTTTGGTTTAAGAAAATTTTGTAACTAAGCGACTTTAAAAGAAGATGATTCATTGAGAAAAATCGAATTTTAAGCTTTTTAATAATTTTAAATTCTTAAATTTAATTTTTCTCAAAATTTTTCTGTTACACTGGAAAAAGTATTACGCTCCGTACTCCACTTAGCACCTAAGAAAGAC